TATATATATATATATATATATTTACCTCTAGCCATTGTTGACATGAAAACCTTTTGGAACCGAAAACGTAGCTTCAGTTCTACGAGTTTGAGAGCTTCTAATGCCTCCTTCCAGCTTCTGAATGATGGTGTAATATAAAAGAATAGACAGAATGGCATTAGGGACCCAAACAATGTTCCTTTTATAAGCTCGATCCATCACCGATTCTTTTCCGTAATTGTAGGCATTATGGACCATTCACAGCAAATTCCAAATTGGCTAGCCTTATTATTGGAAGCGCAAATCATTGATTAATGGAAGTTTTAGGCCACACACATGATTTTCCTTAATTAGAAATGGAAGATTTCCACAGTAATAAGATGTAAGGTTTGAGAATATAATATATGAAAGGACAAGCTACAACTGTGAATCCATTATTGTGACAAATTTTGAGAAGTTCATTCTGAAATAATTAAATACACCAGGATGTAAATTAAATTACTATAAAAACGATGACAAACAGCTGTTTTGTATACATTCCCATCATTTTGTAAACAACAATGTTTTCTGTCAGCATACTTTCACTACAATTTTGTTGATAAATTCAGACATATTGGACGTACTGACAAAGCTATAAGGGCCAAAGGAACAAAAGCGATTTTTACCTGCTACCGCCGAATTAAGGCAAAATAATAAATTGAACACCTAAGCATCCTATTGACTACCTTCAATAATATTATTTTTCCTCAATCATTTATTTCTTCTTCGGCACTTATTCTATGCGAATTTCCAAGAGGTTAGGGAATGGATTGGTGTTCCTTTCCATCCAACAACCATTCCCTTCCCATTATGTTCAAGTGTGCAGGAGCTTCCATATACAAACCAGTTGAGAACTAAATTAGCTTGATACCAAGATGACTCGTTGAGTTCAATTTCTATCATTCTAAATCTTTCAAAAAATGCCCTCCACACATCATTTTTTACATTTCGAGTGGTTCTCTCCTGACCCTCAATTGCAACTGTGTTCAGAATCCCTTCAAGATTCATTCTGTATTGATTGCTTCGCTCCAAGCAATCAAAATAAGCACTATAAAACAAGAATGCCTCAATGAAGCGATCCACCAATGAAAGAGAATTATGATTTGCCTCTACTTCAATTACGACCACTAGGACAGGCCTAAGCCTTCTTATTGCTCCCATTACATTTTCTACGCAATCGGGTCTTGATACCATTGACCTCAACATCAAAAAGGAGTAAACAACCACAGTTTCACTAGCTTCAACATTTAAGAGATCTTCCTTGGAGTTTCTCATGTCTGTAAGATATACGGCCTTGAATGAGAAAGGCAAATTCAAGGACTCGGCAAAGCTTAGTAGTCTCTGGCCAGTTTCTTTAATATAATGTTGATCAGTTATTCCAACTGCAGTTATTTTAAGATGCTTGATCAAGTGCTCAAGCCGCTCTGAAAGTCCTTACATCAAGGCTGTCCATTGAATTCCACTTCTTATTTGAAGATCAATCAAATGAATCTTGCTATTTGTTCTCAGATTTTCAATTATGCTTTGTATTCCAGCAAATTGCATCACTTGTGTGAAGGGCAGTTCTTTGTGGGATGCCACGAAAAGCAAGGCTCTTTACGGTGTTCACTGGTTGCTTTGTTTTCTCAGTCATGATTCTCCCAATTTCTCTATGCATTCTCTCTCAAATAGCTATTGCAAAATAATAGGTAATGCGTTGGATTGGAGTGCCTGAATCAGACACCATCAAGAGGCAACGAGTAATCATTTTACTTGCAAAGTCAAAATGTTGATAGCCCACATTTTCTGCAGCTACAAGGAGAAGATATACAAGTTCCATATCCCTTGCTTCGTCTATGGAAAGGCCTGAGAAAGGAGCCGTAAGGGTGGATAAACATGGAAATACCATCTTCCTTGTCGATAGAAAATTGGATAAACCTTTCTCTAGCCACCCTCAGAATTTCCTCCATCGTTAATTTCTAGCCAACTACATTATTCTCACTTCTCAAATTATTGAAAGTCTCTTCACTTGTTTTTTTGAGACCTCTTTCGTAATGGGGCTGGAGCTCCACTGATGATGAGGAAAATGAAAATGCCTTATCCTTAAGGGATTTCCCAAGTTCTAAAACTTGTGATTGAACTTCAAAGGGCATGATCATGTGGTCATTCTGCTTACAATTATCTGGTTGTTGATTTCAAAACAATTGAGATTTCTCCTCCATGGTATTCTCTTGACAAGAGCCATAAATAGAAGAAAACAAATCCATAAATTCACAATCTTCCATATCAAACAATGGATCTTGTTGACTCTTGGTAATGCTGCCTCTTTTCCAGACCTGATGACTCACTGAAATGAAATGAGGAGAACAATGTTTCCGCCATTCGCAGTCACACACACACACACACACACACACACACACACACTATTATCAGACACTCAGTGATCATTAATCAAGCTATCTCCAACCAATGTAAGTGGCATACTACAAAGAATTCTCTTTATGTATTTCCTTCACCTCAGAGGAAGAAACTGAAGATAAAGTTGATGTGTCCATTGCAGGGACAAATGCATTAGTTTAAATAAAGGCAATCATCTAGGCCATTTCATATATTTTAATCCACGAACAAGTTCGGCCAAGTAAATAGGACAATAGTATGTAATTAATTAAAGAAAAATATGATTTGAAGAAAGAAAGAACAGACAAATAGAGGGTAACAAATGAAGACAGATGGGGCGCGATTAGGGAACAAGAAATACTCATAGAGCAACTATGAAATATTCTGATATGAGAATAGGAAAAGAAATTTATTCATATAATCTTTAATATGTACATATCAAATTCATTATCTATTTTTCCATAATGGAACTTTCATAAATAGGTCATGAGCTTTGTCTACTTGTACTACGTTGAACTAATTCTCCAGAAATTTCTGTTTCCTTTCTCTGACCAATCGTTCTCTTTCTTTTTCTTCGTTTCTTCTAGATTAAGTCACGTGTCCTCATATATGATTGTGCTGATTGATAAGAATTCAAGAATTATATGGATCCATTTTTGGGTTCTCACATCTCTTTTAACTTTCACATTAAGCATGAATTCATACTGACAGAATGAAGTACGTACATACATACATGCTATATAAACAAGAAATGACAAAGTTATATACTCGGAATTAACAATAAATTGGCTTATTACCTTACCTTGTAAGCGACAAAATGTCTCTCGTCTTACATTTTCCCAATGGAAGATGGGGTAGGCTGGAGGCCAATCAAAATGGACTCATCAATACGTGTTCTTTATTCCGATTATTTTTACAATTAATAGTTTAAAAAACGGCATATTTTCATAATAACCAAGGTGAAAAGGCAGGTTCATTTAATTTGTTAATTTAAAAGGTCTTCTCTGTAGATTAAACATCCATGGCAAAAAAATCTACTACTTCCGAGTGCACTGAATTAAGATGGTGATAGCATACAAATTTCCAGAGAATTTCAAATTTTTATTTCCTTGAGAAGAAACGAGGACTGGATATATTTGAAGTATGTTTGGTGGAGATAATAAATTATCAAATGAAAAATGTCAAAATCGCACTGCAACTCTATATTCTTAACACTTCTCATTTGGCAAATACAATGATGAAAAACCCAAGAAGAAAAGTGAGACAAGTCATGGATGAGGATGCCCTTCGCTCTACAAGTTCTAAGTCCACCAGAAACTCATGCATCCAAGAAAAAGTTCATTCTACTCAAATGTTCATGTTTACATGTGTCTTTTTGGGTCTAAAATCATATATCTTGTTTAATCACTAAGAATTCTTAAATCGTGTTCTTTAAGATCTTCCAAAATTTCTTGATTTTCTAGGAGTGGCTAAGAGGGTAGTACTGGCTGTAAAACTAGGAAGAAAAATGATAAAAGTGTAGCACCTCCTGATTGTTGGTCTTGGATGAAATATGGGTAAAAATCCAAGGATCTTTTTTATCCCAGGTTTATTTTCCTTCACCATTGTGCTTTTCTTCTAAGCTCCACAATAGAGATAATTAATTATTTATTGCTTATTTTAAGTGAATTTCTTCAAGCACAACCTCAGTTTTGCTGATCTTTGCCTTTCAGAAAACCCCGACAGTGAGTTTTAAGGTAGATGGAGAGTATTTTTGGTATGAGAAAGACAAAGCCCGTAAAATATTGTAATGCAGTTGCTTTACGTGCTTCTAATTTTATTGCTTTTGGAGTTAGTGATTAAGGTTTAGTCCATAACAACAACCCCTGAATTCCAACATGCAGACGTATTTTTGTTGGGCTTAATTACAAATGCAGCACATCAAATGGTTGTTCTGCCAAAAAACAAGTTGAGAAATGCAGATCAATAGATGCATTGATGCTCATTATCACCTACACATCTTCTCATAAGCATCTGGCCCCTGGTTATTCATCCACCTACTACAAAGAAGAAAAGGAAAATCTAGTCCCTATACTCATTGATGCTCAACCCATGACGCCACAGCAAGAACAGGCAGTACAACTAAAACAGCAGCAAATCTCACACCGAAGATGAAAATCATTTCCACATTTCCCAATCTCCATGCCATTTTTCTTCTGTCATCGATCAAGAAAACAACCCTTTTAGGTCCTTAAACAGTCATTGGTACATCATTTCATCTTGTTAATCCAGGTATGCCCGGTGTACATGTATTTGTTACTTGATCTTTGTTTGCCCAGATATGCTTGGTGTACTTGACATGAATTTTTGATCTATGGAATTTTATATTTACTGATCAAAGCCTTCGAGGAAAGGATCCTTGTAAACCTTTCTTGATGCAAGCTTGCATTCTAAGTGTTATAAGATCTACTTCATTTCTATTGAGCACTTGATTCTAATGTATCTAGAATAAGTGATTGCTTTAGGGCAATATATAATATTTCACTACCTTCTCCTAATCAAAGCAACTAATCGAGCCTTATAGCACTCAAGAGAACCATCAGAACGAAGTTTAATGGAATACACCCATTTACTGCCAATAGGTTTCACAGTTTGTGGACATGGCACAAAATCCCAGGTCTAGTTGGCCTCAAGAGCCTCGAGTTCTGCTTTCATCGCCTATTGCCAACATTCATGTTCCATAGCTTGTCTATAGGAGGAAGAAATAGAAATCGAATTAAGTGTAGTAGATATAGAACTATAGGTGGAAAAACCATACCTATCTGGTGGTCAAGAAACACGAGAAGTACGACGAAGAGCGACAGGAGGCGACAAATCATCAGGTGCAGACTCGAGTTCTGCTTTCATCGCCTATTGCCAACATTCATGTTCCATAGCTTGTCTATAGGAGGAAGAAATAGAAATCGAATTAAGTGTAGTAGATATAGAACTATAGGTGGAAAAACCATACCTATCTAGTGGTCAAGAAACACGAGAAGTACGACGAAGAGCGACAGGAGGCGACAAATCATCAGGCGTCGTAGTTGGAGGATCAGAAGGGCTGGGAAGGACCGTCGTCTAAGAAAGAAGATCTAGATTAGTGATAGATACAGCATCCCTGCAGTGTAAACATAGCCGGGTTTGTACCGAGATGGTTCTAAAGGGAAATCAGGTAAGACAAAGAACACAAGGGAAAACAACAGTTTTTGAACAGAAGAATGATTGTTTGTCAAAAAAAAATTAACATTACGAGAAATTTGAATTCGTTGCGATGTAGGATCATAACAGACGTACCATTTTTGAGTCCCACCATTAGAGGTAGGCGCGAATCGATTCGGTCCGGTTCGAAAAATTTAACATTACGAGAAATTTGAATTCGTTGCGATGTAGGATCATAACAGACGTACCATTTTTTAGTCCCACCATTAGAGGTAGACGCGGGTCGATTCGGTCCGATTCTCTTTAGAATCAAACCGAACCAAAATTTTCGAGTATCTAGTAAATAGAACCGTCGGGTCCAAATATAATTATGGAACCATTTGGGTTCGGTTCCATTCGGTTCAGTTCGGTTCGGTTAGGTTAGGTTCCGTACTATAATTAAATTTTTTAACATTTATAACAACATTATATAAATATAACTAATAACATATTCAATGGTTTTGGAATGTCAAAGACTAATAGATTACCTTGTTCAAATGATCGCTACGGTCAAAACTTCGATCGGCAGAGGAAACAGCTTCGATTGGAGGTCACAGTGTCGGCCGACGATTGTATAGGTTTTGAAATGTCAGCGAAACTGCGAGAGTGAGTGCGAGAGTCAAGACAGCGTTATGCAGTTTAATGTAGATATTTAGGGTTATTTAGTGGGTTGGATCTTTGTTTGGCTAAGAAATGAAACAATAAAATGGGTAATTGGGCCAAAAATTAAAAAATTAGAAATGAAACAAATTATTGGGCCAAAAATTTGAATTCAGAAATTGTTAATTTGTTAATTTGTTTAAAAAAATTAAAATTAAAATAATTTGATTTTTTCAATATAAAAAAAAATTAGAAAAATTCGGTTCTTATTAGATTTTTCAGTTCTTGATCTAGAACCAAGAACCGAACAGTACCTGTCAGTTTTCAATTCAAATACCCATTCGGGTACTTAATTTGACAAGAACCATAGAGTTCGGTTCAGTTCGGTCCGGGTTCGATTCGGGAGATTAGCCCAGCCCTATCCACCATATCCTAGAAAGGCACACTTGACAGATTGAGGGGTAAGCTTTGTCCTTTTCATGTGATTGCAAATGAACAAAACATACACACCCAAAAGGACGGAGATGAGAATATGTACGATGATGACCAAAGATTTTAAAAAATGGAGAAACATTATTAAGAGTGGGAGAAGGTAATCGGTTGATGAGATGCACAGTGTAGACAATGCTTCACACAGAAAATAGGAGGGAACAGAAGATTCAATCAAAAGAGCTCTAACCATATCAAGAAGGTGACGATTCTTGTGTTCTGCCATGCCGTTTTGTTGAGGGGTAGAAGGGCAAGATCGTTGAGAAATAATACCTTTGATTTGTAAGAAAGATTAAAAAGTACTAGACATATATTCACCTCCCGAATCGGATCTTAAGACTTTGATCGATGAGGAAAATTGATTGCTAATGAGAGCAAGAAAGGATTGAAAAGCAGAGAAGACCTCACTCTTTGCACGAAGAAAATAAACCCATGCAAATCTACCATAATCATCTATAAAAGTAACAAAGTATTTATAATGAACATGAGATACTACAAGTGCAACACCCCATACATCACTATGAATAATATCGAAAATATGTAAAGCACGGGAACCACGAGACAAGAATGGTAGAACTTTACTTTTAGTCAGTTTACATGAAGCACAATCGAGAAAGATAATTGAAACAACATTTTTATTACCAAGCAAACCCGAGTTTAACAAGTGTTGCAGCACATTTGAATTGGGATGTCCCAATTTTTTTATGCTAATTAAAAATAGCTAAAGTGGTAGAATTAGAAAAGAAAAAAAAAATGGAACAAGCGTGAAATAGGAAACAAACGTCCCTCTTTAGGCCCCTTCACGATTGTCTTTCTAAACACCTGATCCTATACATGACATATAGAAGAAGAAGAAAAAATAGGACAATTATTATCAACAAGTTGCTTAACAGATCAAAAATTAGTTGGTAAATCAGGAGAGACTAAAACGTTAGACAAATTTGGTGATATATCCCCCACGGCTGAAATAGGAAGGGTGTTACCATCAGCAATGTGCATATTGAAAGGTCCAGTATATGGTCTAAGGTTACTAAGCAACAGAGGATCGCAAGTCTTGCGGTCTGAGTCTAATAACCAAGAAGAACAAATAGATGGTCTATTTCCTGAGACTCCCAAAGCAGACAAAGCAGAGATAACCATTTGTTGAACAATTTCAAGAGTTATGGGAGTCTAGCAAGAGTTGGGAGACGCTGGAACTTGAACAGGAGCAAGTGGTGAAGTAGAACTAGAGGCTAAAGTGGCGGCAGCAATATAATTTGCTCCAATCTTGCGTGAAGGACCAGTGGGACACTCCTTAATATCATGGCCAGACTTCTCTCAATAATTGCAAATTTTTCTGGGACACTGAAGAGTCATGTAATCAAATCCTTTATAGCTATAACACTGCACACCAAACATATATCGAGACTTGAATTTTCCTTTAGCACATAAGCAATAGGAGCCGATGCTACATGATTCAGCTGCTATTCCAAAGAATTACAAGTGATAAGACTCTGCTCCTCCTCCAATAATTTACCTAAACAACAATCTAGTGATCGAATAGACTCACGATTC